CATGGGTTTTGGAATCACTAAAAGATGCTGAAGGCTACTGAGACAACTTGAACCATAAGAAAGTTTCTGAAATCTCCAATTCAAATACAACATGGTGTAAGAAACTCAAACACTCAGACCAGAACCAAACTAGAAAAAAAACTTACAAAAAAAAATCCCCAATACAGTATCACAATGAATTGGCTCACCAAAGCTTACCTCCTTAGAACGCTTGGTAGAGACCAGAAGAAGACTGTCATGGGTAACCCAAAATGTTACTGTATTCTGTATGTATCCATGCCCAAAAATTGTTACAGTCTCTTTTAAGATCCAACGCATGCGGAACTGGAACCGCAGGGCAGAGGGGGCACTGCTGCAGTCCCTTTTTACCTGGGAGCTGGGAAGTGAGGAACAAACTCTCTGCTGGCAGCACTTGCTGAAAGTGGAGGCTCTGCTTTGGAGGGGTTACTTTGGGTGGTTGTTTGCAGTTTTTCCCTGGAGTTGCAATAGTAGCCACTTGGAAAAACTGCATTTCACAATCAAAAACTGTTTTGGAGTGAACTTTGCAAAGCCAGCGGGTCGGCTGGGGCCCGGTCACCTCGTGTCAGAGCTGACAGACCAGTTTCTCCCCCACAACAGACCCACAGTTTGGAGACATCAGCACCAACAGGGTCAGAGTCTGGCAGGCAGTGGTGCTGCCTGCCCACACATACCAGCACTTCTCCCCTGCCCCTAGACGCACTCCACAAGCTCCTGCCTTCCCCAGGGTTTGCTGCCATCCCTCCCCTTTGCCTCCCAGACTGTGCAAAGGTGCCATCTCGGGGACACGGTCTGATGCCATTTTCCTTTCTCTCCCTACGGCGGTCATCCTTGGTCTTCTCGGAAAGGGTATGTCCGCCACTTTGGGTCTCTCCTTGTTCTGGGGGAGTTAGTGAGATTTAGCAATTTTCTATCTAGTGGTTATTTCTGTTATTTTTGCCTTTTGCAGTTTCACTTGTTAGTAAACTCTTACTTTTCTCACTTATATCTATTCATATTTTGTTTCTCCTTATTGGTGGAAAGGGATTGGTGAAAACAAAGGAGAAGAACTAATTTCAGAGTGTTCCCTTTAAATTGTCTTAAACCAAGACAAAGATTCTGTCAAGAAAACGGTAACATTCAATCTGAATTGGAAACAAAGAAGAACAGGAAAATATGTGCAAGGTATATGCTTGAGAAGGGTCTACTCATAAGCCAATTATGAGCTTTAGAAAAAAATTCTGAGAAAAACAATGTATCCTGCCATATACAGAAGAACTGAAACAACTAAAAGAGTAAACAGTTAAACTAAAGTACTAGAATATCAGTTTGGATATGAATTTAACTCTCAGAAGTTGGACTTTCCAGGACAAGTTAAACTAGTTTTTGAAAAAAGATAGAATTTTAAAGGTCTAACATCTTGTCACTGTAAGTAGGTACTGCTAAGAGGATTTGTATCTAGAAGATTCTACTGTGGGAAGCTCTAACTACCGTTTAAGAGAGAAACATGCACTGAAAAGAAATATTTTAACTTTCTCAGAACATTTCCTGCAATGGCCTAAAACCAGTTCTACAATGGCTCATTCAATTTAGACATTAGCTCTCATCGAGAAGAACAGTATCTCAGAAGAACATGAGTCCACAGCTGAAGGGAAAGCTGAAGAATATAATACAAAAGTAACAAAGAAAACCACAAATTATTTGCCAATAGAAAAATTCAGGTGAGAAACTAAGCAGAAAAGGTGGCACACTTCAGCAGAAAAGCACAAAACTGAATATACAGACTTATCGGTCCAACGGCATATGCGTGAAAAACATCAAAGGAACTACGGATCAGTGATCCAATATTGGCAGAGATTTATTGTGCTTAGTGCTCAAAATCACATTTTGATAATCCTCAGGTCATCCAAATACTCTGCTGTTAAATGGGAACATGTTAGGAGACAACTGCTAAGGATGTAGCAAATACCTTAAGAAAAAAGAACTGAATAATACATTGGTAATTGCCAAGCATGAAATACAAAGCACAGCATTAACAGAAAAAGAACAGCAATTGGATACCCATGTTTTTGCAAAATAACTGGATTTTAAGCAAAGTAGACTAAATCCATATTGTATGGAAAGTTACAGGGTTGTAAAATATATGAATTCCCAAAGCTTGTATAAAAATATTTATAAACAGTATGAGGAGCAGTTTAATTTTTGCTTTTTGACATTAATAAGTCACATGACAATACTCTCACCTCTTGAAGTAGTTCAATAATAGTAAAGTACAAACTACCCGATTAAAAAGTTATTTAGATTCACAGGTCAGGTTGGCAGCTACCTGTACATTTAATTGTGGCAATTGTTTCCAGAAATTACAACTTATTCTTAGGAAGAAACTGCAGAACAAGAGTAGGCCCTTTCACAAAGCATGAAAGAGATTTTATACAAATTAGGAGCACAAAATGCAAGGCTTCAAGAAATACAACAGCTGAGGGAGGAACCAAGAGATACGACAGTATCAGAAAAAAACTGAGCAGATTAATGCAGAAATCCAAAGACTCTCAAGATCTATGAGGCCATAGGAACCAGAAATATTTGAAAACTGTCAATTTATGTATTGCATTGCCAGTGGAATACCAATCCTTCCCAGGGAAAGATTGAAAGTGCAAGGTGAAAGCAGCTATTATGGATGTTAGTACTTTCCAGTTTGAATCAGCAACTGTTACCATATAATAATGGGAAACTGGCTATGGACACCTTCATCACGCTGCAGGTACCATGACAGATTCTGGAACATTTTTTTTAAAGACTGAATTAGAAAATTGAGGTGGGTGAGGGGGTTTTAGTTGATTCTGGCTTTCATAAAGAAAAAAAAAAAAAATCCAGCCAGAAAGTCCAGTCAGACCCTTCCTGTCCTAGAAGAGAATGACAGAATTTCTAGATTATAAGAAAAACTTACTTACTCTACAGTTACCAAACATATCACTGAAAAAAACTCCCATTTAAGATGGCATACAAGTTTACAAATCTCTGCAGCTTACAGCTGGCCTCTTTTAAAGATATAGAGAATGTCAGTTTTCCACATCCTAACATGTGTCTATTTCAATACACCTTCCTTATTGCTACGGAAAGTGATGGCCTTGGAAGGCATTGTTTATCTTCTGCATCTGACCTGTTATGAGAAATAAACAAAGAGACAACAAAGAAATATCACATTCTCAGAAAGATGTGCAGACCTCCTCAAAATATACTTAAGACAAGCATTTTTTAAAAAGCTATCAATACATCACTCATATAGAAGATTTTAGCCTCCTCCTAGCATGGGCAAACAAAACTCAGGAGAAATCTACAAGCAAAATTCAGAAGAGGCCATTCTCACATCATAATGTGAATAACAAGATAAGAGTATAGCCCCTTAACTGTAGAAGCAACTGCTACAGCTAACTTCTGCTTTTCAGTGTTCACCATACTTGAGACAGCTCCATTAGAAAAAAAAATAATTCTTTTCCTAAATAACCTTATACTGTTAGTTGCACATAGTTGTTCAGGAGTCATCAAGTTCTGACACAGAGGACTCAATGGATCTTTTGCAGCACCAAGTGAGTGGACTGGGAAGCAAAACGTATCAGAAAAGCCCAGTCGTTTTTGGACAAATTTCATTAACATTCATGTGCCTACAGATCTGTCTTGGAAGTACGTTCCTAAAAATAGTGACCGACCTAGAAAACCAACCCAAATTCTAATCTTCTTTCAAGACAACTTTATAAGGAGTAGAAAAAGAGAATATGTGCATGTGTATGTATGCATGCACACACAAATATACACACAGTCTCTCCTACTTTCATCAGCACTGAAGTGAAAAAGCCAAGTCTAAGCTCCTTAGACACGTTATTATGGTAAGTGCTTTTCCAAGTTGCAGAAGTATTGTGCAAGGTGAGCTGGGTTCCCAAAATGCAACTCAATGCACTCCTTGAACCAACCACAATGTTTATTATCACTGCTCTGTAACAGGGCAATTCTCTCATATTTTCCTGAAAAGGAAAGGATTTCACTGGACAGTTTAAAAGCCTAAGTTAATGTTGGCTCTTTATCCACCTACTGTAAGTTACAAACAGTGTCAGTTTCATCTGCCATACTTGTGGTTAAGACTAGCAAGGTTCATTCAGGAAGCATATGAATGATTTTTTGTTTTGTTAATTTCTCTCTCTCACCAAAGCAGATACAGTATCTAATCCCCTAAATTTTTCTGTATTGTTTCTGGTGATTTTAGAAACAGCACCACTCTTCTCTCCACATAACCCAATTTGCTTTCCTGTACAATCCAGCAATAGCAATCCTTTCCCCAAATCTGAAAAGAAAGTGAAAAGCCTTGCAAAGTTCCTTGAAGCTCTGCTGTAGCTGGTAGCAAGTAAATTTCAGCAATGAAGATTGGTGCGTTGAGCACATCCTGTCATGGATATCTTTCCATCCTATAGCCTGTGGTCATTTGCAAATGTCTTTGAGAATTGTGAAACAGCTCAGGCAAGGAAGCACATGAATGGCCACAGGTAAAAAGATGATCCCTTTTCCAGTTTCAACTGGAACGCACCAGGAAGAATAGAACTATGGATCCATGAAGTCCCTTCTCCCTAGAAATAGGGGCAACAGTATTGCAGGATGGATTTCACAGTTGGCTTTATTCGTATCAGACCTACTTGGTGTGTAAGAGGCTCCTGAAGGACTCCAAGAGCTTTCACTTGGATGTGTGTCAGGGGCGCCGAGGGTAAGCGTTCTTTATTTTGTGCTAACTCTTCAGGTCACAGAGGGTGGAGCAGTACTCTGCTCCCAGCGGCAGCTCCAGCGAGCTGTCGCTTGCCCTCGACGACTGTGTGCGTGTGCTGGTGATTTTGTACCGTGTAGGGCCGGAACTGGGGCGCGGCGTGGAGCTGGCGCACGGCCCCGCGGCCCCACGCCCGGCCGCGGCGAGCCCGCCGGCCGCCAACGGGGCCCCGCGCCGGAAGGCGGGATGCACTTACCTAGGAAACTTCTCCTTCAGCTTCCTCAGGCTCTGCCGGGTGGGCTGCACGTGGCCCAGGAACTGGGCTATCTCATCGTACTGGGCTTTGCTCAGCTTCATGCCTCGCACCGCCGGGGCTGCGCGGAGGCGGCAGGAGAGGCGCGGGACGCGCCGGGCGGCGAGGGGCAGGAGGCCAGCGATGGCGGGGCGGAGAATCGCGGGCAACCCCGCTATCAACCCGCCGCCGAAGCAAACACGAGCCGCCGCGACTGCCGCTTCCCGCAGCTCCGCCCCGCGTCCCGTCCGGGGCGGTGCGAGGGGGGCGGTGCGAGCGGCCATGCCATGCCGCGCTGCCCGGCTCTGCGCAGCCGCTCCGCCGGTCCCGAGCGGCCCGGTCGCCGGGAGCCCCGGGCATTTTTGGCGGAGCAAGGCGCCCGCAGCATCCCGCCGGGGGATGTGCCCTGTTTGGTGCCCCGCAGATCGCTTCTGCGAGCCGCCACGGCGCCTGCGAGGGCGGAAGGAGCAGGCGGGGCGGCCCCGGCCCGCAGCGGGATCGATGTCTGTGCCGGGTGCCCGAGCGCCTGCGCTGGGGCGCGGACTGCGAGCCCCGCTGTGTAGCGGCTTCAAGGCGTAATTTCCAAGGCCCTTTTCACACGTCACGCTGAAATGCCCTTTTCTTGCTGCTTAAAGGGAAAATAAAAGCTGTAGTAATAAAGCTGCGGATGCAGACAGGGCCTGCAGCCTTTTACATGCGCAGGGTAAACTCCTCTCCTGCCGACTTCTAGGAGAAAACCATCCAAGTTTGTGTTTGGATTTCCTTCAAAGCTTGTTAAGACTCAAACTCAGGCAAGCAGTATTATTAAGTGCAATTTAAATATCAGTAAGTATACTGCAAGTGTTAGTTTCTGTGCTGGATGTTTTTAATAACTACTATGACTTAAAAGATAGGTATGCTCTCCTATAAACATAAAAGTGCTAGTGGTAATGCAGAAAATTGACCATGTAAGTGGCGAAGAAATACAAGTACTCCCATTGATCTTGATTAAATTGCATTCATGAGCTACATACAGGCTACTCCTGAGGTTTCAGGCGCATAAAACTATGGATTAAGACTGATTTTCTTATTTTTGTAGATTTTAGGTTCTGTTCCCTTGCTTTCTCTCTTGAAAGCTTTAGGATCACATTTTGAGGTTTTCTCAGCATCTTAGCTGGAACCTTTACAGTTTGTTGCAAGAGTACAAGATCTAGAACTTGAATGAAGAGCAGATAGCATGGATATGTCAGTAGAGTGAATCATTCAGGTTTCTGATTGAGAATGCTCAAATAATCCTCTATGTCTTGATCTTCCATGAATTTTAGTGAGTTCTGTTTGGAACTGGAAGCCTTCCTAGGAACAGCTGTTTCTGATACTATGGCCTAAATATAAGTGTTTGAAACTCATTAATTACTCCACAGTAAAAGGAAATGCAGTGAACCTAAGCCAAATGACAGATTCTATTCCTCATGCTGAGACCAAAAAATAATACGTGAAATTGAAAAAAAGAGGATTCTTTTAACGAGGAGTGTTATTTATTGGAAAGATACTTTATTTTCTTTGGCTCTGTCAAAGAGTGTAGTAGGAGATATTTATGTTTGGGAGGGAAGATGGTATTCTTTCAAGCTGATATCCACCTTAAAGGCCCATAAGGATATAGTTTTCTTGAAACATAGAAAAGGTAATTTTCCCCAATCTTTCCAAAGATTGTAATTATGGCTTTTTCTTTAGATATAGATTTAAAAGAAAATAATTAAATCGTCTTTCACTACCATTACTACTGCTTATTTAGAAGCAATCAATAGTGCTTCTTTAAAAACAAACAACATCCTTCTATCTTTGTTGTAGCATAATTTCCAGTGAAGATGTTTTTAAATACTTTAATGCTGCTATCTATAACTTCTGTCTCTGTTCATTTTACTTGTTCACTAGTATATGTTCTTGATTTTTTTAAATAAAAGTCAAATGGCTCTTCAGTCTACAATGTACAGAACAATAGGTTAGAACTGCAATATGAAGTTATAGTGTATGGATCAAACTACAAACATCTAATGTATATATTATGTATGCATTGGATATATTTTGTAATCTCTCCTACTGGATCAAGGTTTTGTAGATTTCAAAATCATTTTTAAAAAAAAGCAGATTATTTTCTAGCATGAAGGTTCACTGAAACCAAGAGGAGCTAATACCCTGCTGTCATGGGAGGTAGCTGCCCTCAGATGTGAACTGCTGCGGGGAAGTATTTTGCATGATGCAGTGCAAAATATAGATGAGAAGTTCTGTGTGCAAAATATAAGCAACTCTTTGCCTAAATCAGTTAATATAGAACTTTTCAAGTGAAACATTCAAAAATCCAGTGAGGAAAAAAAAGGTTCCTAGCAGAAAGTCCATGAAATACTTTTTTCCATCAATCAAACTGCCTTTCCAGTTTTACTGTATCAAATAAACATCAGACTGTCTGTAATTAAGTTATGGACATCTGTACTGTAAGATGATGTAGATGGTGGAAGTTTGCATAAATCCAATAAGGAGCTGGATGAAATATGTAAGAAAAAGAAAAGGCAGGAAAAACTTAAATTTACGTGGCTCAAGGAGACTGAGAGCTGCAAATGGTTGGATGCTGGAGGAAAGTTCTCAAGAAGTAGTTACTGTGTGCTTGCTTTGTTCTTAGATGTTTCCATGGTATCTGCATGAGGCAGCTGCTCCTGATTTTTGCCTTGAGGTTGGTTCCCAGTCTGTCTGTTATATAAACAAAGTTTCCTTCCGAGAAGAAAGTAAAGAGGGAAAAACTATGGGAAAAACAAACACTTGGGAATGACAAGTCAGGGGAAAAACAAAGAGGACATGTAAGCTATTGGGGGAAAATAAGGACAGGGAGACCAAGAAAAACACCTGGCAGAGGACTTCCAGTAATGGCCATCCTTCCTTGTAGGTAGTCTTGGGCACAGCTGGTGAAGGACATTAAGTAATGGACCTTTGTTCCATTGGTTTTTTTTGTTTTGTTTTACGTGGTAATGTGGGATATTAGTATGTGTCTATTACTTTAAGAATATGATTGCTTGGTATGATTTACAGCTAAGTTCAGAGTTCAAATACCATTCATTATTTTCCAGAGAGCTTAAAATTACTATGTTTTGAGAATAGATAATTAGAATATATTAATGAGGAGTCAATTCACATACAAATTGCAAATTTTGATTTGCTTTTTATGGCCTTACATGCAGCTGTCATTTTACTGTATTACCCCATTTATTCATAGACAAAATCTGTGCTTCATGTTGCTTTCTGTTACAAAATTAATGGAAAGACTGCTAGCACTCATGCATGTTTTCCAATGTATTGATTGTAGATGCTAATGTTGGGAGCTATGCTAAAACTAGAGTCTCATTGGCCACCAATTGGGGTGCTAGTTAGAATTATCTCATATTTTTAATCCCACTTCATTAATTTTGGTGAACAGACTTCTGGAAGTTGTTTAATCTATTTAATGTGATTTTTTTGGTGGAATTCAGCTCTTCTTATTTGACATTTTTTCATTGAAAGAAAAACTTGATCATGCTTCCACTTAACTTGGTCTAATAAACACCTCCACAGGATACCGTTGTTACCTCATAAAAAGGGAGAACCCTCAATTTATGTTCTAATTTATATACATAGGTTTTAATGTACTTTCTGAAAGTGCTTGTACTGTGAAACAAGCCACGATATCTTCAGTATGTGTTAAACAAACAAAAAAGGAACAGTTGGTCTATGCATCACTGTTAAACATTAACTGTTTTGCCATTTCACAAGATGGTAAATCACCCTAAATTTTTTTTCTTTAAAAATGTACATGAGATTGTTTGATACCACAACAATGTGAAGAACGTGACCTCAATAGAAGCAATAGAGTGATTATAAATAGCAGAATACCAATTAAAAAGGGCAGGCATTGTTTTCCTTCTGTGTCTACAGATTTGTTCCTCATAATTACAGAAGTCATTGAAGCAAATGAATCAGTTTTCTGTACTATTATTATACCAGATATATGTTTCTATAAAATACTTTGCTTGTTGAAGTACTTCAAAAAAAAGGAAAATAAAAAGTGCACTGCTACAGTATATTGAGAATGTTGCTTTATACTCATGGGGCATGATCTAAGGTCCATAGAAAGTCTATCAATTTTAATGGACTTGGGCCACTTCTATGGTTCTTAGCTGCATGTTTATGTATTTTCTGTAACAAGATGTAAAAGATCATTGAAAATGATGAGTTATTTAAAAATCAGTGTCTGTAACTGAGATGGCAACGTACCCAAAGTGTTCTTACCCTACCACTTGACTTTCCTTTAGTTTCATATGATGAAGTTTCTGGAGCTTGGATTTGCCCTTTTAAGCTCTCTGTCGTCAGATACAGAAACCTATATGAAAATACTGTTTGAAATTCTGAATATTGTATGAAATTCTGAATACTGCCTGAAATTGTATGAAATTCTGTTTTCAAATGCAATTATTTAATGTTATTATTAAACTTATAATTATTTCAATTATTTAAATTATTTAAAATATTATTCCCTCTTTTTCTATATTTGTTAAAACACTGCATTAGCTACTGTATACTGCTTTTTCCCCAAGGGATTTCAGCTTCATTCACTGTATGGAAAAAACCCCTGTATTCATTGGCTCTGGCCAGTTTCAAAGTAATGCCTGTGTACTTGTAGTACTGCTACTGCTGATTGTGTGCATACATGGTCAGACAGATCAGCTGATCCAGCTGAAAACTTAACATGCAAAAAAAACCTCACCTAAAACTATTATTTTTCATCTAAATCAACTGTGAATTCAACTCAGTGAACAGCCTTGAAAATATAAGTGCCAACATATGGGAGGAAATAAGGATGCAAGGCTACCTCTCTCTGTTGATGGTAGCAGAGCCTTGAGGGATTAACCTCACAATTTAGACCTCTAAATTAGGTGCCAGTCATTAAGCAATATGATTATCCTGCATATGTTCTGCTAAGAGTTTACATTTGAGAGTGTCATTGCACTAAATGCTAAGCACTATCAATGTAGCTGAATTTAATGAAAGTTGAACATAAAGAGTACTGGGCACAGTACTCTGAAAAATCAGGTCCTGGGTG